TAATTTTTTTCTTGTCTAATTGCATTGGCTAATATTAGTAACTATAGTGGACCCCATGTGTTCCATTCTCAATTTTGTCAACTCTTTGGGAGCAGGGACTGTACCTCTTACTTATGTATCGACTTACCATTCATTCATTTACTTGAGCAGATATGGACTAAGTATCTCCTATTATGTGCTATGTTCTGTGCTGGTCACTGGGTTGCAAAACAAAACAAACCCAGCTATGTCCCATCACATCACCCTCCTTTCCCCCACCAAGATTAAGAGCTTGTGGGAAATATAGACATTACACAGATAACACAAGTGTGATAAATTTTCAAAAAGTGACAGTGTTGGATACCATAGAAGCCTGTAACAGAATGACCTAACCTAATATGGGGGAATCAGGAGATGCCTCCCTAAAGAAGTAATATTAAAGGAAAATCCAAAGGCGAGAGAGACAGCTGACACTTTTCTGAAAGAAATCCAATATTTCTGGAGAGAAGAGATAAAGTGGAAAAGTGGATCACAAGAGATGGAGCTTTTGAAGTAGTTAGGAAGAACCAGACCGTAGAGAGTTTGGTAAGCCCTATTAGGATTTTGAACTTTTTCCTTAAGTTAGTAAAATAGAACGATGTTTGCTTTTGGGTGTATATATGTATGTACGTATTTATGTTTGATAACTGTTCTCACTGCACAGTGAAAATGAGATTGTAGACTGCTGAGCATATAACTTACTTGTAACCACTGCTCATTAACATGTAAACCAATTCCTTTACAAATTGGAATAGTTGTGGCAGATGGATTTTAACTCTGAAAGCTAAGTACTCTTTCTTTTATAAGCAAGAAACATATTCATTTCCAAATTCTTTAAAAAATAAGGAACACAGACTTCTTAATGCCATGGGAATTGCTATAGGATCTGAATTCTTTCTTAAAAGTAAAGAACACAAACTTCTTAATGACTGTGGATTTGAATTTTCAATCCATCCGATTACTAGCTCTTTGAAAAAAATTACTAAATTGCTAGAAGCTTTGGTTTTCTCAGCTGTAAAATGAACTGTTGTTTTAAGGATGAGCTGAGGGAAGGCTTGTAAGGCACTTAGGATTCGGCTGGCACATATCTATCAGATCTTAGCTGTATTTATTAGCTATTCTTTAAGAATTTTAGTCCTTAAATAAAAAAACAGATATAAAACAGATACAAAGCAGTGAAGATGCAGAGACCATAAATTTAGATCTTCTCTTAATGATGACGCCCTGATTATTCAGGTGAGTAAACCAACTTAAGAGAAGTAGTATAATTAAGGTTCATGACTAAATAAATAATAAAACTAGGGTTCCTAAAACAGTATCTCTTGGAAGATTCTTTCTCTCTTACATTGCTCTCAAAATTTGTGACACCATGTCTCAGCTTGGCAAAAAGAATGGGGACGATTAATCACCTTTGGTATTTGGTTAGTGGGACTGAAAAAAAAAATTAAGCCATAAAAATTATTTCCTGATTTAGATGATAATGAAACTTTTTCTTACTTGAAAACTATTTTTTTGGAGTTCTAGTTACTTAGCTGGTCCATTGACTGATTAGTCAGCTGTTAATGTATAGTTATAGAAGTAGTGTTTTATCAGACTATATTTTTCCAGTATGTGCTACCTCTAAAGGGTGACTTCTATGAGAAATCTAATTTCGCTGCACTGCAGTTATAGTAAGGAGGTGGTGTGTGTATATTATATTAATGGGGTCGTCTTCTCTTGGATGTTGGGGGAGGGGCATTAGGGAGAATGTAATTAGCTTTGTATCAACAAAGCAATTTGGGGGGGCTAGCTGCTTATAACATGAAAATAATCGTGTTATATAAGTGGCATCTTTGTAAAAATACTTTTTAGAATGGCAATACATGTAAGTTAAGTGGCCCACTAACTTCACGTGATACTCAGAATAAGAAATATCTAATGTAACCAAAAAAAGGGGTGGTTATTTAATGTTAACAGAAATTATCATTGATTTTTTTAACTTCTAAATAGGATTGTTTTTAAGTTAGGGTCAATGTATGGGAAATTAGCAGTATCATATTTTATGTTTTAAGGTATTGTTCATCAGTTTTAAAAATCATTAATACTTTTCTTGAATTATAATGTTTTATAACGTTTTGCACAATATTTATCAGACTTTTGTTTATTCAGAATGGTGGAAAATGAACTATATTCTCTTCACCTATTTTTTTTTGGTAATATGAATAAAGTTTTTAAAGAAATCTGCACCTGTTGTAACAAATTCAGTCAATGCTGAAGAATACAAAACAAGTCTTCCTCTTTAATTCCAGTTCCAAAGGTTTTCTTTCACAATTTCTTATACCCTTGGACTTGTCAATTTTTATATAAATACATATACATACATATATCATATGCTTATCTAAACATGCATATTAACTATACATATATCATTTTAAAGTTAAAATTAGATCATATTCCAGTGTTATTCAGAAATATATTTAACTTAGTGTGCATATCTTTTTTAGTACATATAGATTTACTTAATTCAGTTTGTTGAATATTTTAGTATAAGTCTGTGTAAGTTTATTCATTTGTATGCTGATGGAGATTTTGATTAAATTCTATTTTTTTCTATTATAAAGAATTCCACTAACCCCTGTAAGATAGGTATTATCTTCTCCATTTTAGAGATGAAATTAAGACACAAAGAGGTTAGGTAATTTGCCCTAAATTGCACAGCAAGTAAGTGGTGGGGCTGGTATTGAAACGCACAGTCTTAAATACTATGTTATGTTACTGTTTTCCTTCTGCCGACCTTTACTCTGTTTACTGAGTTGGAAAAATATTTTAATGTATAAAATATATCTAATATTAAAACTCTCCTGAGGATAATTTAATATGCTACCTTAAGGATATTGGAAACTTTAGGGTCACAAATTACACAACTATAATTTGTAGTTGTATCTAATATAGAAGTAGAAGGTTTAAGCCAGTGCTTCTCAAATGTTAATATGCATTCAGATCACTGGGAGTAGGGGAGGATCTTGTTAAAATGTAGATTCTGATTCAATAATCTGGGGTAGGGCCTGAGAGTCTGCACTGCTAATGAGCTCCTGGTGATGCCAGTACTGCTGATCCAACTTGTGAGTAGCAAAGGTTTAGGCAATTTATACTGACCTTTGGAAAATCTTGTTAGTTGTTTTGTTGAATCAGTTTCTTATTTTGTTTATGCTATCAGTTTTTATAAGTTGTGTGTGTTAAATAAGTGGGGGCTTTCTAGTAATTTCAATTTTATGTCTGTAGCATTTAAAATTGCTGGAAAAAAATAAATCTTGTTTTCTCTGGTATTAAGGTACAGCACCTAACTATAATCATATCTCTTTTTGTGCTAAATACGGCTTACACAACTATGTCACCATTTCCACTGTATCGTTGTTAATGGAGAGAAACATAACATTTCTTTTCATTCTGAAGGCTATAGCTGTAGTTGAACAAAAAAGGTTGCTTTGTCACTATTATTTTATTTTTTAGTAATATTAATAATATATTTTACACAGTTACAAAAATGAATACGTGTTCAGTACTATGTGCCAGGTACTGTATCAAGTGCTTTAATTGGCATGATTTCATTTAATCATCATGACCTCCCTCATTTATTCATTCATCACCTCTTTGAGCACCTGCTCTTTTCTAGGAACGGTGCATACAATGATTCTGCTCTCCTAGAGCTTAGTACATTTGGGGGATGCTATATAATAAGCAAGCAATCATACAAGTGTGATGGTTGTAAAAGAAAAATTGTTAATTATAATATTTGCTATTGTCTCTCTTCTTTCAACCGTCAAAGAGAATTCTGCTTTTGCCCTCTAAGCTTCTCCCACCTAGCTTCCTCCCCTAACCCATCCAAGGAGAATTCTTTTTCTGTCAGCTGGATTCCTGAGCAAATCAACCTAATGAGTAGAGAGAGACAAAATTTCAGAAGTAAAGATGAGCAATTTATACAAGAAAAGAAAGAACAGAAGTAGATGAAATAATTATTATATAATAAAAGTAAATTAAAAAAAAAAAAAGAATACCTGGGGGCTGGCCCTGTGGCGTAGCAGTTAAGTTCATGTTCTCTGCTTTGGCAGCCCTGGGTTCATGGGTTCAGATCCCAGGCATGGACCTACACACCGCTTATCAAAGCCATGCTGTGGCGGCGTCCCATATAAAGTAGAGGAAGATGGGCACGAATGTTAGCCCAGGGCCAATCTTCCTCAGTAGAAAAGAGGAGGATTGGCAATAGATGTTAGCTCAGGGCTAATCATCCTCAAAAAAGAATGCCTGAAGGGACACTGTTAACGTTAATTTGAAGGAGTAAATATCCTCAGTACTTTAAATGGGAGTCTTTTTAATACAACACTTTTATTTTATTAGGTGACACTCAGTAACTCATTTCAGTAAGTTATTTGAATACTTGCATGTGTCCAACTTTGTGATAAGAGGTATAGAAAATCAGGGGCTACCAAAATAGGGTATAATTCTGTCCCTACTCTTGAGACTGTTAAGAGTTGTTGATGAGCAAAGTTTGAAAGATTTAGAAGATAATGCAAGACATTATTTTTTTTTTAAGTACCAACATGTGTGACCCTAGCAGAAAGCACATTGTGGACTGATGGAGCATGCTCTTAGAGGAATGCTGTTTTTAAAAAGTATATGATTCTCTCTTTTCTAGTAATAGTATTGAGTTCTCTTTTGACTATTCACTTGATAGAAAATTCTTTCTGGTATGATTCAGATCTATATATTTGACCTTTATATATTACCCTACATTGTTGTGATTTCCAAAATGTTTTGTTTTCCTTACTATGACTATAATTTTGCTCTTCATAGTATTGTTTTGAAGATTACTGTAAGGGACTTTAATTTAGTTTCTGAATATTACAAGTGGCTCTCTATAGTTGTTTTTCTTGTAAAGGGAGAATCTGAAAAATTTTTAAAAATTTTATCTTGGAAATTAGTTTATTCATTATGTTTAATTTTAGGAAATGGTGCTCTTGCAGAACATTCTGAAAATGTGCATATTTCAGGAGTGTCAACTGGTAAGTCATTTTTTGTAATGTTTAAATTTCATGCATGACTTATATGGTAAATATTGAAAGCCACCTGGTATCTTACGAAGTGATATTTGGCTATAAAAATTATTACTGCTTTTTGCAGCATGTAATAAGGAATGAAGTAACTGGAACATGGAGAAATTCTCATAAGATAAAATTGATACTTGCATGCCCATGGATTGGTTATACTTTTCCAAATGGACTGCATAATTATTTTTCATGCAAACATTGAACCAAGAGAAAAGTTAGCTCAAGTTGAATTTGTATTTTCTTTCCATACAAAGTTTTTTATGAAATGAAATTTATTAAAATGTAATTTTGAATGCTGTTCCTAATATTAGAGCCTTAGAAATTAAGCATTTTGCTTGATTTTTAGATTAGAGTACTACTATACATAAAACGGTAGTACTTGAGTGCACAATTTATATGCTATTGAAAAACAACCCAACAATATATTTGTGTCCATGAAATTCAAAAACTCCTTGAGGTAAATGCGTTTTTTTCATTCATATAAGCTTTTATAACTTAATAATTACTTAAAGGCCCATAACTATTAAAATTTTCCTTCTTAGGTGACTTCCATGGCTTTGTTACCATTTTTGCTGTATCAGCTACAGTTACTAGGAGAGCAGAATATTTTATTTTTGCATATACTGAAATAGAGTTTCTTACCGTTATTTTATTATTTCCATATATTCTTGATAAGTTTTATGTGGTTTAAAAAATTGCGCTTAGTGCATTTATCAGTCTACTGATTGATTTCTTCGTGTCATCTTCTTCATGTCATCTTGTAATTTGCTTGTTTATTTTCATGAAGCAAAACTGAAAGTTTCCTCTTTTGTTTTATGTCTGATTTTATATTCAGAAAATTAATAGACTTAACAAATACTCTAAGTGTTAGTAGGCACTAGCCTAACAAATTGGTAAGCCTGTTTTCCTGAAAATGAAAAGCAGGTGCCTTGGTAGCCTGTGTTAATTCTTTCACAGTTTGTTTCACCATTTTCATATGCTTTCAAATGGTATATGATTATATACATCAAGGAAAAATAAGATTGTTTTAAAGATAACCTTAATTTTCTATTTTGAATAGCTAATAATAATTATGGTTACTTTCCCATGTTGTAACTATGAAGTAAGAAGACTGTTTACAAACGTTTTAATTTACACAACCAAATGGTTATTGTCTAATGCAATGATTTTTCAGAATTTTTGGTCTCATGATCCCTTTTAAGCTTTTAAAAATATTGAGGACTGTATAGTCTGCTAGGGCTGCCGTTAGAAAATACCATAACTGAGTGGCTTAAATAATAGATATTTATTTTCTCACAGTTCTGGGGGCTAGAAGTCCAAGATCAAGGAGCTGGCAGGGTTGGTTTCTGCTGAGATATCTTTTCCTGGCTTGCAGATGGCCACCCTCTTGCTGTGTCCTCACATGACCTTTCCTCTTTGTGCTCTGAGAGAGAAAGTCTCGGATGTCTCTTCCTCTTCTTATAAGGACGCTAGTCGTATAGGATTAAGGCTCCACCCTTGTGACCTCATTTAACCTGAGTTATCTCCTGAAAGGCCCTATCTTCCAAATACCGTCATATTGGGGGTTAGGGCTTCAGCAAATAGGTTTGGAGGGGGACACAGTTCAGTCCATAACAAGGATTTCAAAGAGTTTTTGTTGATGTAGGTTATAGCTACTGATATTTACTACATTAGAAATTAAAACTGAGAAATTGCTTAAAAACTTAATTCATTTGCAAATAACAGTAACAAATCTATTGCATGGTTACACCAATAACATAATTTTGTGAAAAAATGTATTTTCCAAAACAAAAACATCAATAAGAAGAATGGCATTGTTTTGTAATTTTGTGAAACTTTTAAAGATTGGATTAAAAGAAGATAGCTGGATTCTCACATCTGTTTCTGCACTCAGTCTTTTGTAACATGTTGCTTTGTTTGACATATATGAAGACAATCCAGCCTCATACTGATGGACAATTTGAAAAGAGAGAAGTATTTTAATAGCCTTTTCAGATAATTGTGAGTATTCTTCTTTGATACGATACCAAAACTCAACAAGTGGTAGTTTCTTAAAGGTTAGTTGCAAGTGGACTCTGCAACCATGTGAGTGAACACTTTATTCTCTGTTATGTAAAAATCCAATGGCCTTTCTTGCCCTTTGAATGGATTTCTTTTTTACCATGCATCATTTTGTGATATACATTAGTTATTTGCAAAATATTGTTTTTCTGAGTTACGCATAAAACTTATTATATGGAGTATAATAACTGGAAATTTGGACAGATCCAGAATTTGCTTAAATTCTGAATTTTGCTTTAACTCATCAAGATTAGATTCTACTTATATTTATCTGTTTGCTTGAAGTTAGACTATGTTGCTCTTGTTGAGCACTGAAATTACCCTTAAATTCCTATTTGAAAAAAATTCAGCAGTTTAAAAAGTCATCACTTAGAATATGTAAAACATGTTTTGCATATTTTAATCTTATTTTCTTTACTCTTGCTTATTTTCTACTTCTGTATTTCAAACATATATTTAGAAATGTGTATTAGTTTGCTAGGGCTGCCATAACGAAGCACCATAGACCAGGTGACTTAAACAATGTAGTTTTATTTTCTCACAGTTCTGGAGGCTAGCAGTCGGAAATCAAGGTGTTGGCAGGATTGGTATCTTCTGAGGCCTCTCTCTTTGGCCTGTAGATGGCTGTCTTCTCCCTGTGTCTTCACGTGGTCTTCTCTCTGTGTATGTCTGTGTCCTAATCTCTTATAAGGACACCAGTCCTATTGGATAGGGCCCCCTCATCCGACCTCATTTTAATTACCTCTTTAAAGATGCTGTCTCCAAATCCAGTCACATTCTGAGGTACTGAATAATAGGAGTTTGACATAAGAGTTTTGGGACTGACACAGTTCAGCCCATAACAAAATGTGTGTTTTAATTCAGGGTATTTATCCATCAATAAAATACTTAATTTCAGAGGTCAATGGAACCTTATTAATGACTTATTTTTTTTCCTGAAGGTTGGTCCTATAAAATCTTTCTTCTGTGGAAAGAGAAGTATAATATGAAATCTATTCCAATTATACCATGAAAAAAATAAGTGGATGCTGTCTCAAAAGGTGCTTTTGGATATATAGATCCATCGCAGTTTTTCTTTGGTCTATATGGAGCTATAGAAGATGTAATGCTTGATACAGTATAAGCCTTCTGGATTCCTTGCATTCCCAGTTGAAACGAGAGCCCCTTCAGTGCTGGTCTAAATGGAGACCTAGACTTTGAAAGAATCTCTACATGTAGGACTTGCTTTCTTTTGAGACCAAGCAGCAGAAGTGGTGAGGTAGTTCAGTGTTCTGTGGTGCTACCTGTTTCGGCTCCTCACCTGCCCTTTTCACCTCTGCTACTCCATTCGATAGAGGTCAGTGCCGTAGGCCATTCATGTTTTGCATTCTGGAAATTTTAGTGGCAGTTTTAGAAAGAATTTTAACTTGTCTCCAGTTAGTGTTTTCACGTAATTTATTGTCCAAATCAGGACACTTTGAAAGTAAAAGGGTACACTGTTTTTAATTATGCTGACCGCCACAGACAAAACTAGGACTGTCTCAGACAATTCAGGATGTATAATCACCCTATCTGTAATGAATTAAATTCATTTAGCATGTATTAAGCACCAGATATGGACCTTGTGTCAAAAAGAGTTGAGAGTAAGCAATGAGTAAAATATTCTTGTCTCAAGGAACTTACCATTTAATGAAGGAAATAGACATGTGCAAAATATACCTATAATGTGGTCTTAATGTAGTAAATCCTGTGGTAAATAATGAGCATATTAAGTTAGATAGATTTATAAAAGGCCTAGTTACAATGTCTGGTGAGTAGTCAATGACTTAATATTTTTCTTATTCATTATGAATAGTACTAAATGCTTAGTTTTGCTTATCCAGGTGAATTTTTATGAGAATCGTTAATTTCTGATCGACAATATAGTTTGGGTTCTTATGCTTGGGGTAATTTGTTCTATGTCTAATATTCTATTTTCATCTTCTTCCTCAAACCTTTGCAAAGAGAGGTAAATCTTTGTCTTTTTTCTGGTTCTTATGCTACAGGTATTGGCATAAGAAAACGTCAATTATCAAAAAGTGTATATGTAGTGACTATATAATAGAAAAGAATTATTGGATAAATGCTTATTTTTTATATTTTTTCCTTTAGTTGAGACTTTTCATGGTCCAGAATTTTAAATCTAGTTTTTTATATGCAATAGAGAAAGGAGAAAAGACAAACGATATTTTTGTAAATCTAATAGTATGTGAAAATCATTGTGAAATTATATCATAGAAACTGTCAAGTAATTTAATTGTATGTATGAGAGGGTAGGAAGGCCATTTTAATATTCTTTTTTAAAAGTGTCTAAGTTAAATGTCTCATGTTTCTTTTTTAAATGTCTAAATTTTTAAAATAGCTAAGTTTTACTGCTCATCTGCTACATAGAATGAAACTTTTTTAGGTCAAATTGATTTATAACAAGACCTTTGCACACATTAAAGAAATATATTTGACTTTTTAGATATATCTACTTTTAAATTGAATTTTACTCTATGGTCTATGATATTTATTTGAATCAGAATAATTCTAGAAATAATTTGATTATGCCCTCCCTACTCTTAATTATTACTTCCAAATTAAGTTGTTTATTCATTATATAAGTTTTATTAGACATTTATAAAAATTGGAAAAAGAACAAAAAGATTAAGAAAATTACTCATTAACCCTGAATTCTTAGTATTAATTAATAATAGTATTTTAATTTTTTATTTGTCCTTTTTCCGTGCATACCTTGAAAATAATTGTATGTTCATTTAAATTATAACTAATTTTGTCTCCTGCTCCTTCTGTTTAACATTTTATAGAATACATTTTTTTCATTATCATTGTTTTAATACTTGTATAAAATTGCCATCCTGTAGCTGTATTAT